AAAAAAAAAAGCATTTTAAAATTAATTAATATTTACCAGTCCAGGTGTACCCATATTGACTGGGATGTATCCATGCGCGCCGATAATAGCCATTACAGCGACAAACGAGACTATAAATGCTGCCAACAACTAAAAATCATCTAATAAATTAATCTAAACAATTTTATAATCTAGTAAAAATTAATGAAAGTAAAAATAAATAAATCACCTGAAGTCGAAGGGAGAGCCACAAACTTGCGACGATTTCTGTGTAAGAAGTCCGTTGATATATTTGCACATGCTGCATGAATCTGAATAAGAAATAGTCCTGTCGGGATAAGACAAAAAACATTAAACCACGAAGATAAACAAAATAATTTTGTTTTTTATTTGCAAAAAAAAAAATGTAATCTTTACCACAGAATCGAAAGCTCTAATAGTTGAGGAGCCATCTAATGTCTCGGTAAATGACGCATAAATAGGCGATCTTGAAACACTATCCAGTCGTCGCAATTCACGAGATGTTGATCTGTAGTAGAACTAAAAATTCTTACATTTTAGTAATCTGATATTAAAAAAAAAAAAACCCGTTATCGTCTTTTTTCGGTTTCTTTAACTGTTACAATCAATTATCAATGCATGATGTAATAATGCCATTGGAATCTCCTCTCGAAAAAAAAATTAGATAAAGAAATGCTACAAACCTGCAATTTGCTGTACATAAACCAAAATGGTATTAATACCAGCAAAAACATGACCTGCATATACGAAGACCAGTTCAGTGATATTCGAAAAAATAAGATTTTTTTATTTATTATTATTAATTTTCTTTTGGAAAAGAAATCGGACAGGTGAAGAATAAAAGGACTTTAAAAATACCTGTACAATCGACAAAACTATGGCGATTCCTAAGAGGCCGACAAAATTGGCGAGGAGAATATTGAGAATAAATGGAAGAGAATCGTCAATTGTGTAGAGATCTGAAGACAGTCTATATAATCCCGTTAGTGTGAGGAAAATATATTTATTAAAACAAAAATTGGAATATTATGCTGACCTGTTTAATATTCTTCCGCTCGGTGTTGATCGAAGAAACTAAACGGGTGCATCGATAAGGTTCCCTTAGCAGTTGATCGTGCACTCTAATAGCAGCTCGTAAACCGCCAAATGCAAATGCAAACGCCCTCACTAAAGTCAATGATGAGTTGACCATGCAAAACATGCACAGTACGACCTGCATTGCATGCCCATTCAAGATCGGAAATAAGTAGTGGCAAATCGATCAAGTGATAGAATCTCGTACAATGTGATGACCAAATATTATGGTGATTTTTTTTATTTAAATATTTTTTTTAACAAGCTAAATGAATTAAATATGCTCACCAGATAAAAAGTGGTCGAGTATTTGCTTTCGATGTTGCTTCCACTCGTGTCGACCCAAAACGACAGCCACAGGTCATTTCCATTACGAGACGCTTGCATCAAAATTGCCGATACACATGTCACAATCGCAATTGACCAACCAGAAAATGCGGCGTAGTTCCTGCCAAACATAGTATTTACGATTTTATTTTATTTTATTTTTTATTTTTTTTTTTGCCGTTGAATTCGGAAAAGAAGTAGCTCACTTGTACACTGTTGATTCAACTCTACCCTCGTTCCTTATCTCCACCTCAATTGTACCTTGAGCTTCGTTCGAAGTGCTTATACACTCAAGTTCTTGATTTTTCTCCGATTCACAACAAGAATTCGACGATTTACCCTTATTTTTTATATCAGAAAATGTGTCGAACTCATTTTCCGACAAAAACGAAATGTAAGAAGTGACAGATGATAAGTCCATCGGATTTCCGATCCATTTCACATGTCCTTTATCCATCACCACCACCATATCAGCCTTATATATTGCCTGCAAAGTAGACGACTAACTTCTCGAACCATGTCTTTAAGGCAAATAAACTGAATAAAAAAAGTGGAAAAGAAAAAAACAAAATCGAACCTGGATATTATGTGTACAGAGAATGCGTGTATTTCGGTTCATAAGAGGGGCAATAATGGCATTCTGTAAAATTTCGCGAGCTACATGTGCGTCAACTGCACTCAGTACATCGTCAAGAAGGTACGTATCTGAGCCGTGATAAAGAGCCCTGTAATTTATTCCGATAATAAGCAAAAAAAGAAAAAATTATAGAAAATAATTTTATCATGCATGCATTATGCATAATGAGAATATAATTTTTTTCATGTATGATTAAAGTATTTATTTATTACCTGGCAAGGGCGAGACGAGCTCGTTGTCCACCAGATAAATTAATTCCTTTCTCACAATACGAGACATACCTCCTCCAATCATTAGAGAAATATCGAGATCTAGAGCACATGCATGTAATATTTTCCGAGTATCTGCTCACGTAAAACGGAGGTTATATATATACCTATATATATATATATATATATATATATATAT